AGAAGGCTCCACGGTTGGAGAGGCGCTACCAAAACATCCCAGGGGTGAGGGGCTGCAGGCATCATTCCCCCCTCCCTTACAGAAGTAGAAACTGAGACTCAGAGAGGGCTGCACAGCTAATTAGTACCCAAGGTGGTCTGGTTTGATTGATTTTTTTTTCTAAAATTTTATTAATTTTTTTTGTTTTTATATCACCTTCATTTCCAGATAGATCTCTCCCCTTACTCCCACCAAGAGAAAGGAAGGAAAAAAAAGTCCAGTAAAGCTAATCAACATACTGATAGTGTCTGACAAGTATGTGTAGTATTTCATACCCATAGACCCCCACTCCCATCTTTGCAAAGAAGGAAAAGAGATGCATTTTCTCATCTTTAAGACTAAGCTTGGTCATTATAATTAAACAGATAATAAAACAAATTATGTTAGTAACAAGAATAGCACCTCTAAAATGGTTTAAGGTCTGCAAAGCAAACCTTACACATTATTATATCATCTGATCCTCACAACAGCTGGTGAGGGAGGTCCTACTATGATCCCCATTTACAGATGAGGAAGTCAAGGCCGAGATTTAAAACTGAAAGGATTCTCAAGTCTAATCTCATTTTACAGATGAGGAAACTGGGGCCTAAGAATTTTAAGTGATTGACCAAAAGTCACACATAGATTATATCTCTAGAGCTGGAAGAGACCTCAGAGACTGTGTAGTCCAATCCCCTTGATTTACAGATGAGGAAACTGAGGCACAAAGAGGTTAAATGACTTATCCAGGGTCATACAGCTACTTTAATGCTATTTCTCAGAACAGAGGAATAATTATAACGGCAAACTCATTCAAGAACTGAATCAGTCAAGAGGTCAGGGGCAAATAGGAACAGCTGAATACCCTGATCACCACACCAACCTCTTAACAGTGACACACTGTCTTTGACCTCCTCCAGGGATAGGCACAGCAGTGACATCAGAGGTAAGATCTGAACTCAGGTCTTCGTCCACTGAGCCATATTGCCTTGCCCTTTCAAAACCTGAAGAACTAAGGAAATTCATTCTAGCAAATGCCCATGAGCTCTAGGTGGACAATTGTGCCCCTATTTGAGATGGGGGCTTTCGGACCAAGTCTTCTCTGCCAAGCTGTGCCTCATTCCTACCTCTTAGGTCTCTGAGCAACCTGCACCTTTCCTCACCTACTCCTGTTCTCACTGTCTGAAGCACTTTCCCAGCCAAGGGCTTGATAGGTGCATGTTGGCCAAGTCCTCTGGCCTTGAGCCCCTGGACAGTAAACAAATTCACCTGATGTTGCCCTGCGGTAGTATCTGTGGCCTGGACCCTAGTCCCAGTAGGAAGTATCATGATCATTACTCTAAGAGCCGGCATCAGAAATCTGCCATGCCAGTGATTCTAATCAGCTCCTTTCCCAGCTTTGCTGACAAGTCCTGACAAATACCGGGGCTTTGCGTTTGTAACCAGCAAGAAAACAGCCAGGGAGGCCCAGCACAACTGAGCCCAGTAAGGAACTCTTCTCTTATGGGGTCCAGCTGTCAGCCCAGCCTTGCTGTGGTATGCAAGCAGATGTACTTTCCCTCTGGGTCACCCTCTCTGATCCTCATATGAGGTGGCCAGGGCCCCTGCAGGAAATCAGCTGCCTTTTGTAGGAAGCATCAATTAGCTTTGTGAGGAGCTGTCCATGGCTGCAGGTCAGGCAGAATCATGGAATCACAGAGTTAAAAGGATCTTAGAAGACATCTAGACTAGGGTCCTCACTTTATATGTGAAGACACTGAAGCCCAGGAAAGTGAAGTAACTGGCTGGAGCCGCACAACTAGAACTTGAACTCTGTTTTCCTGACTCCACGTTCATGATCTTCTCAAAATGCTTTGGTCTCATACGACCACTTAGCTGCTTCTAGCCCCTTAACCCTGGATTCCTCACTCAGAGGCTCCATGAAGGCTCCCACTAGCCTCAGGAAGCCCCTCCCTCTCCCTCTTTACCTGCTGAATTCCTACCCCTCCTTATAGCCCAACTCACATGCTACCTCTACAGGAAAACTTCCTCATTTGTTTCTTCCCAGGCAGCAATGTCTTCCCTCTTGGTCTTCGTAGGGAGCTTTTATATGCCCTCCCTCTAATCCACTTGTCATGTCAATCCAAGAAGTACATCCCGCACCTAGCAAATAGCTCCTGCCCTCAAGGATCTTAGCCACAGGCCAGGCACAACACTACGAGTGGGGTGTGAGATTATAAAAAGGACAAGGCCCCTGCCCCCAAAGAGCTTGCGTTTCCTGTGTATAGGAAGGTATCTATACAATGTTTCACATTCTATTTGTATATAAAGGTATATTCAAAATAATAATATGATGTTGATATTATTATTATAAAAAATAGTTTTCTCTGCTTCTGTCTTATCTCCCTGCTAAAGTGTAAGCTCCATGAGGGCAGGGACTAAGTCAAAGCCAAACGTTCCATTTCTCCTCCCCTCACTCCCAAGCACAGTGCTCTCTACATAGAGGATGCAGAATGAGTGAATGTTTGTTGAGTGAATAAATGACTAATGGTCCTGAAACTAAGAGGATCATTTCAGGGGAGGGAGGCCATGTCTGCTTTGCAGCCAAAAGAGCAGAAGTCACTAGTGGAGTGCTTACTGGTCCAGATGTGTAGGTGAGTAAGAAGGATTTGGGGCAAATTAAAACAACTCTGAGGTACCACCTCACACCTACCAGATTGGCTAATATGACAGAAAAGGAAAATAATAAATGTTGGAGAAGATGTGGGAAAATTGGAGCACTAATGCATTGCTGGTGGAGTTGTGAACCGGTCCAACCATTTTGGAGAGCAATTTGGAACTATGCCCAAAGGGCTGTGAAACTGTGCGTACCCTTTATCCAGTAACACCATTACTAGGTCTATATCCCAAAGAGATTATAAAAATGGGAAAAGGACCCACGTGTACAAAAATATTTATGGCAGTTCTTTTTGTGGTGGCCAAGAATTGGAAATTGAGGGAATACCCATCAACTGGGGAGTGGCTGAACAAGTTGTGGTATATGAATGGAATGAAATACTACTGTGCTATGAGAAATGATGAGCAGGTGGACTTCAGAAAAACCTGGAAAGACTTGCATGGTCTGATGCTGAGCGAAGTGAGCAGGACCAGGAGAACGTTGTACACAGTAACAGCCATGTTGTACAATGACAGCTTTGATAGACGTGGCTCTTCTCAGCCATACATACAAGACATCTCCAAAATTCTCATCATGGAAAATGCTGTTCCTATCCAGAGAAAGAACTATGGAGTCTGAATGCAGATGGAAGCAGGCTATTTTCACTTTTTTTTTTTGTTATTTTTTGCTTTTTCTTTCACATGGTTTTTCTCTTTTGTTCTGATTCTTCTGTCACAATGTGGAAATATATTTAATATGACTGTACATGTATAACCTCTATCAGATTGCTTACTGTCTTGGGGAGGGGGGAGAGAGGGAGAAAAATTTGGAAATCAAAATCTTATAAAAGTGAATGTTGAAAGCCATCTTTAGATGTAATTGGAAAAAAAACACTATTAAGTGGGGAGGGGGGAGAAGGATTTGGGGGCTGGTTAGGGCATTTCTTGTGTCTAAGAAAGTAGCTGTAAGCCATACTTGGTTATTATCACCAAGTGAGAGCCCAGGAAAAGACTCCTTCTTCACCCCTAGGCCTTTGAGGCTATCCCATGATTCCACTATTCCCACCTGCTAAGCTCATTGGCCCACCCACCCTTCCTGAAAAGTCCTCAAGGTATCCTGAATATGGACTTTGTACCACAGCATGGTGAGTAAATTTTGGGTGGAGAGGGAAAGGTTTTTACTGAAAAGGGGAAATCATCAAGGTAGCTAGACAGAGCTCAGAAGGAACTTGGCCCTGGCCTGTTTTTGTTCAGTGAGTTGAACAAGAATCTGAATTGAATCAAGAAGAACCTTGGGCAGATAACTTCCCCTCATGGGGCTCCAGTTTCCTCATCTGTCAGATGAGGGGGGTTGGGTGAGAGACCACGTAGGAGCTTCCTCCCAGCTCTGACAAGTTGTGTAAGGACAAACACTCTGGTGGCCTGAGGTTAGGTCCCTGCTGTCCTCCCCTCCCTCCTGTGCTGCTGGGGGCAGCAGGATTCTGAACAGTCGACCCCCTCCCTCCCTTTGGATCTCTGCCTCATCCTCTATAAAATAAGGACATTGGACTGAATGATCTCTAAGTCTCTTTCCAGCTCTAATGGTCCATGCTTTTAAGGGAACTCTTCTACTATCATCACTAACAAAGGAGTCCTGAATCCCTTTAATTTTATCCTTGGAGCTTTCTCCACAGTACTTGAGTCAAAGAATCTTTGAGCAGGAGAAACCTCTGAGGTCAGCTAGTGTCACTTGAGGGTGACCTGAGCCCAAGAAGAGCCACAAGATGTCTCATCAACCAGAAAATGACAGGGGTGGACACTGTTATTTGAGTGGAGGACAACCAATGGATGGTCCAAGGGTTGCACGGGTCCTCATGAAATAGTAAAAGCCCAAGGAGCATTTATTATGCACTCACTCTTGGTTGGGCACATTTCTACAGGTGGAGTATACTAAGACAAGGATGAAATGGTCCCTGCCCTCAAGGAGCTTACATTCCACTGTATGCCAGGCATAGTGCTAGATGTGGGGTGTGCAATTACAAAAAATAACACAGTCCTTGTTATGAAGGGTGAAATCACTGATGAAGGATTTCCAGGAGAACAGGAGGAAGGAAAGGACATGGGTCTCATAGGATAAGGAGAGGTGGATGGGATTACCATCTGTCCTGGTGGAACAAGCCCCCATTGGTGAGATCCCAGATCTGTTGAACTCACAATGGATTGTAAGTCCTCTGGAGCAGGCTCTTTGTAAAAGAGAGCAGCAAGCAGGAAGGAGATTAGCTGGGAACTAAGGGGAACTCTGGTTCCCTGAAACAGGCAATCTGTGGGGCCTCTCTGTCCTGTGGTACCTAAAGAGGAAGTAAAGAAACTTGACTAAACCACAGAGACACAGACTGCCTCAGAGCAGCCTCCTTTGGGAAAGAGAGCAGCTCCTCCTCCTCCTCCTCCCCCTCCTCCTCCTCCTAATCCTCTTCCATCCCAGCATGGCCTTCAGATTCCTTGGCCTCATCCTACTCCCATGGACCCTTCAGCCAGGAGGTGAGTGTTGCTTTTGTCTCCTACCTTCTCCTTCCCCTGTGCTATCACATCAAAGCCATTTTTGCCCAGCTCCCCCACCCCTACCTCCTCTTCTGGGGCTTTGTTCACCTTCAGGTGGTGGGATTAACTCAGCAGCCCTTCACTTGACGATGAGAAGCCCTGAGACCCAGAGAGGTTTAACAACTTGCCTGAGGTCACATAGGCAGTGACATCAGAGGCAGGATTGGATCCCAGTTTCTCTGACCACAGAGCCCAGGATTCGCATGATCTAGCAGAAGGAGCCCCTGAAGGTCCCTGAGTGACCCGCTCAGACCCAGGCTTCAGGGACTCCGAGCTTCTCTGGAACACGATATTCAGTGAATCTTTTTTGCTTGGAATGTGGTTCTAAGCTCACATTACTCAGAGTCAGCATGTTTCCCATTAGCACTTTCTTGAAGTGGTACTGGTACAGGTGATAACAGAGCGTGGCGCTTCTGGCTCTGCTCTCCTCCACCGGCCCCCATCCTGAACAAGGATTTCATAACCATCACCTCCTATAAATAAAAGCAGACTGGCATTTCCCCCACTGCACCAAGAGTTAATGCAACTGGAGAAATTCCTCTTGCACAAGGTCTGGGAACAAAGGCCACTCACAGAGAACCCCTCAAGGGGCCTGGACCCTCAGAAATGTCCCCAAGATCACAGACTTAAGCTTAAAGCCTGGGCTTTGGCTTTCTCGTGTCTCTGTAGTCCGCGTCCAGATATTGGCCAGAAGAAGATACAGCCCGGCCGCTGCTTGGTATTTCCCCGCCCTGCCTGACCTGTGACCCCATTTGACTTCTTCTGGTGTCAGCTTTCCCCTGCTTGCCACCACCCTCACCCCTGACCTCATGTAGCACCTTGCTCTTTTTTTAAAAGGTTTTTCTTTTTCAAAATTAAAAATTTTATAAGAGATGAAAATTCACCTTTTTCTTTCTCCCACCTCCCTCCAACCACCATGGAGAAAGAAGGAAAAGCAAAACCCCTGTTACAAACATGTGTAGTCAAGCAAAACCAATCCCAGGTTAGTCGTGTCAAAAAACCCAAGCAGCCCCCCCAAAGCCTCAGTCTGCCTCGAGTCCTTTACCTCTTTACCGGCTCTCTCAGGAGGGGACTCTATGCATCCTCGTGAGTCCTCTGGAATCCTGGCTGCTCATTACACTGATCAGAGCTTCCAAGTCTTTCGGAGTCCTTAGATAGTCTTTATCATTTTATTTTTTGTGTGTAAGTTGTTCTCGTGGTTCTGCTCACTTCACTCTGCATCCATCTATCCATACCAGTCTTCCCAGGTTTTCTGAAACAACTCTCTTCACCATTTCTTTTTTTTATGTTTTTATATATTTTTTTCCAATTACATATAAAAACGATTTTAGCATTGCTTTAAATTTTTTTAGTTCTAAATAATCTCCCCCCCTCCCTCTTTCCCCTCTCCCCTTCTTAAGAAGGCAACCAATTTGATATAGATTATATCTGTACAGTCATGCAAAACATATTTCCGTATTAGTCATATTGTGAAAGAAAGCACAGACCAAAAAAAAAACACACAAGAAAAATAAAGAAAGTGAAAAAAAGTCTGCTTCTATCTACACTCAGATTCCACCAGTTCTTTCTCTAGAGGTAGATATAGCATTTTTCATCATGAGTCCTTTGGAATGGTCTTGGATCAATACATTGCTAAAAATAGCTAAGTCACTTACAGTTGATCATTGTACAATGTTGCTGTTACTGTATCCAGAGTTCTCTTGGTTCTGCTTGCTTCACTCAGCATCAGTCCATGTAAGCCTTTCCAGGTTTTCCTGAAATCTGCCTGCTCATCATTTCTTGTAGCGCAATAGTATTCTGTTACTTTCATATACCACAACTTGTTCAGCCATTTCCCCATTGATGGGCATCCCCTCAGTTTCCAGTTCTCTACCACAAAAAGAGCTGCTATCAATATTTTTGTACATTTTTAGAGTTTATTTTGCTTAAGATGAATCTCTCCCTTATTCTATCCTCCTTCTTATTCCCCATCTCCCTTCTCTCCTTTGCCTCTTGTACCCAACTCTGTGTGTTTGTGTATTCTTCCTTCCTTTGACAAGTTCAGATGAGAACAGGGTTCAAGGGTCGGTCACTCCCCCCACCTCCTTCTTGTTTGCATGGATTTGTCTGTCAACACCTGGATTATGTGAAATAATTCTCCCCATCCTTTCTCTCCCTTCCCTTCCCTTCCCTTTACATCTCTCTTTTAAGATCATCAGAACGTCTACCTCCCAAAACAAACCCAGGAACTCTATGAACACAATTACAAAACACTTTTCACACAAATAAAATCAGATCTAAATAAATGGAAAAACATCAGTTGCTCATGGGTAGGCCGAGCTAATATAATAAAAATGACAATTCTACCTAAGCTAATTTACTTATTCCATGCCATACCAATCAAACTACCAAAAAAAAGATTTTATAGAGTTAGAAAAAATAATAACAAGAATATCAAAGTAACTAATGAAAAGAAATGCAGGGGAAGGTGGCCTAGCAATTCCAGATCTTAAATTGTATTATAAAGCAGCAATCATCAAAACTGCTTGGTACTGGCTAAGAAATAGAGTGGTAGATCAGTGGAATAGGTTAAATATGCAAAACACAGTAGTCAATGACTATAGTAATCTATTATTTGATAAACCCAAAGACCCCAGCTTCTGGGATAAGAACCCACTCTTTGAAAAAAACTGCTGGGAAAACTGGAAAAGAGTATGGCAGAAACTAGGCATAGACCCAAATCTCACACCATATACCAAAATAAAGTCAAAATGGGTTCATGACTTAGATATAAAGGCTGATACCATAAGTAAACTGGGAGAACAAGGAATAGTTTACCTATCAGATCTATGGAGAACAGAAGAATTCATGACCAAACAGGAGATAGAGAACATTATGAAAAGCAAAATGGATAATTTTGATTAGATTAAATTGAAAAATTTTTGCACAAACAAAGCCAATGCAACTAAGATTAGAAGGAAGGTAGAAAATTGGGAAAGAATTTTTACAACCAGTCTCTCTGATAAGGGCCTCATTTCTAAAATATATGAGAATTAAGACAAATTTATAAGAAACAAGCCATTCCCCAATTGATAAATGGTCAAAGGATATGAACAGACAGTTCTCAGATGAAGAAATTAAAGCCATCTATATCATATGAAAAAATGCTCTAAATCATTATTGATTAGAGAAATGCAAATCAAAACAACTCTGAGGTACCACATCACACCTATCAGATTGGCCAACATGACAAAACAGGAAAATGATAAATGTTGGAGAGATGTGGGAAAATTGGAACACTAATACATTGTTGGTGGAGTTGTGAAATGATCCAACCATTTTGGAGAACAATTTGGAACTATGCCCAAAGGGCTATAAAAATGTGCATACCCTTTGATCCAGCAATAGCACTTCTAGGGCTATATCCCAAAGAGATCAACAAATGGGAAAAGGACCCACATGTACAAAATATTCATAGCAGCTCTTTTTGTGGTGGCAAAGAATTGGAAATTGAGAGGATGCCCATCAATTGGGGAATGGCTGAGCAAATTGTGGTATATGAATGTAATGGAATACTATTGTGCTATAAGAAATGATGAACAGGCTGACTTCAGAAAAACCTGGAAAGACTTGTATGGTCTGATGCTGAGTGAAGTGAGCAGAACCAAGAGGACTTTGTACACAATAACAGCCACGTTATGCAATGACTAAGATGTTAAACTGAACCCTTCTCAGCATTATAGGATCTAAGACATCTCCAGAGGCCTCGGATGGAAAATGCTGTCCACATCCAAAGAAAGAACTATGGAAGTTGAATCGCTATCATTATTTTTTTCTCTTCTGTTGAGTTTTGTTTCCTCTTTCTGATGGTTCCTCCTATTGGTTTTAATTTTTACTTACAACTTCACTAATGTGAAAATATGTTTAATAGGAATGTAAATGTATAGCCTATATCAGATTGTGTGTCTTGGGGAGGGTGGTGGGGAGGAAGGGGAAGAAAAATTTTAAACTCAAAAGCATATGGAAGTGATTGTTGATAAATCAAAATAAATTAATAAAATTTAAAAAAAATAAGATCATCAGAACACAACAGAATCAGTCCCAGGCCTTCTGTCTAATTAGACTCCCTCTCTGATGCCTGATGATGGTGGGGCTGGGATGATAGGAACAGTTAATCCTCATTTGATCTCTTATGATTGCTCCTTCATACTTACCTTTTTGTGTTTCTCTTGATGTCTGTATTTGTACTGCAAAGTTTCTATATAGCTCTGTTATTTTTATCAGGAATGCTTGGAAGTCCTCTATTTCATTAAAGATCCACTTATTCCCTTATAGGATTTTCCTCAGTTTTGCAGAGTAAGTTATTTCTCAGTCCTAAGCCTTTGTCTTCTGGAACATCACATTTCAAGTTCTCTGAATTCCTTTACAGTGGCAGTTGCTAAATCGTGTCACACAGCATTTTGTCTCGGAATCGGGAGGCCAGAGTCTGACACATTTATTTAAAAAAATATTTTTTATTATTAACTAATCAATTAATAATAATAATAGCAAATCTTTATATAGCATTTACTATGTACTGCAATTATTATCTCTCTTTCAATCTGCACAATAATCCTGAGAGGTAGGTGCTCTTATTATCCCCATTTTGGAGATAAGGAAATTGAAGCAAACAGAGGCTAAGTGACTTACTCAGGATCACACAGCTATTCATTGTCTAAGGGTGGATTCGAACTCAGATCTTCTTCACTCCCAAGCTACCAATTATCAATTATCAATAAATAAATATTTCAATTCACATAAAAACAAGAAAGAAATTTGTCTAAGAAAATATGGACTTATTAATTTCCATTCAACAAGCATTTCTTAAGTACGCTATGCTAGGCATTGTGCTTGACTCTGGGGATTCAAGGAAAAAAAGCCAGAAACAGCCCCGCCTTCAAAGAGCTTACACTTGGGGGGGG